CCCCACCTCTTCTCCCTCCGGGGTTCAGGTAATAGTTGTTTTACTGTACAAAAGTGTGTTCGGTAGGCCTGTTGCCCCTCCCCCCAGGAGCCCTACCACTTTTAATTTAGTATCCATCAGTAAGAGCGGGAAGGGGGAGGGAAGTATCGGGCTGTTAAGGGTAGTGACGAGCGGGGGAGGGGGATGCAGCACGACCTTCGAGGAGGGGGTGTAGTGGGACGACTGGGGGATAGCGTGACGGTCAAGAAGTGGGTTGTGAGCTGGCTGAGGAGGGGTGTAGTGGCGAAGGAAGAAAGGCGGGTGAAAAATCACCCCTCCCCCTCTACCCCCGAAAACCGTCCTGGATCCGCCTATGATTTCAACAATCAGTGGCGGCAGCTCGGGGAAAAATAGGAGGAGAAACTGGAAGAAAAAACAGCTCACGCCACAAATTTATAAGTTGAAATCCGATGGTTCAGACCGCTGTATAATGCAAGTAGATCAGTTCAAACATATACCTTTAAAATTCAATACCCTTTTGTGATGTAGAAATTCCCTTTGTTTGTTGTAACAAAATTCAAGGTGGGTCAACTTCGTTTTTCTTCGTGTTGAAGGGTTTTTAAAGTAATCTTACTGGGCGGCGAAAAAATACCTTAGGCACATTACGACCTGCGTAAGCATTATGAGTTAAACTTTCATAGCGACAACGCTGACGATCAATCAAGAAATCTTTTGTTTCTCCATTCTTTTTCGGAGTGTATTTTCTTGACTGTTTATATGGTCGCTTTGTGTCCATTTAAAAAATCAGACTGTGTGTCAGATAAACGACCTGCAGGATATTATTGTGGTCACGCGAAAAAGTAAAATTCGATGAGAAAAGCCTTACCGACAGTCGGCGTCAGGCTCTAGTGATGCTTCCCCGGGGGGAAAAAGGGCCGCACAAACAGGTGGTGCACATATATCGGATAGGTATGAGCACTAACTGGAAGTTTGCAGCTCAAGACCGAAGGATCTAGCACAGCTGCGCCAGAAGTCTGAGAATATTTCAGCAGCATCACTAGCATTGAATCCCAAACAGCTTCTTTGGGCAGATTAGGTTTAGAATTCACGGGTCAGATCTTGTTTTATTTGACTAAATTTTTCTCACTTTTTGGGG